ATTTTAGGGCTCCGTTTTTAACATTTTGGGTATAGGGATTATAAGATAAATACTTTCTCCTTTGCAAAAAGGGAACATAAGAGACAAAGATTAAGAAACTTGAACCAGGCCAGAACAGAGAAGAAATAATCAAGTGAGAAGAGGTACAAATAAATAGTGAATGAAAAGAAAAGAAAATTGAATAGTAAGAAAAATGAAAAAACAAAGACAAAATGAATTAGAAAACAAAGGGACAAGCACATCTAAAGTTAATGTCATGATACAGACTCCAGTGAATGGACCACTCATTTCTGCTGAAATCCAGGGGAGGGTCTAGAGCTAAAGGGAGGAAAAACATGATGAAATTTAATGAACTGTCACACTCTCAAGCATTCCGATAATGCTGACTAACCCTTTCAACACTTTCTTGTTCTGGAGCTGAAGAACAAAAAGGTGAGGTTAGTGTCAGAAATGAGAAGCTAGAGCAAGAACAGAGAGAAACCAACAAAATTAGAATGAAGTTTCCAGGTAAGTCAATAGTCCTTCAGGCTGTTCCCTGCCCATTGCCCATTCTACCATGAATTATGAGCCTTGCTAAGTAATATTAAACATCTTGAGAATAAAAAACCACACTACCTTATAATATTTATCTTCCATCTCTCAGTAATCAATGATCAACAGCCCATTTGTGCAGTCTACTTTTTGAGCATCCCAACCTGGTTATTTGACTTTGGTAGTCTTTATAGCTACATCTATTGAATGATGTTTGCTAAAATATTCATGAGGGGTCAAAAGACCTCTCAAAACTGCAGGAAATATGTTTTAATGTTAACAGAGAATAAGATGAATTTTTTAAATGCTAGATTCAGTCACCAAACACGCCACTTTTTTTGAATGATATTGCTAAGAAGATTGCATCTATTTTTAATATGGATTTATATCAGGAACAGTATTAATCTAATATTTAGCAGATTTACTATAGACAATCCCAAATATTTAATAGCTATAGTCTCATCAGCTAAAATAACATGATACAACTCCATTATGAGGGCAGAGTTGTAGATCAAACTATGACAAGGTTATCTCTCAGGAATAGAGGTGCAGTGGGAGATGAAGTGGGAAAATATCTGGGGAGATGCCAGCAGCCTTTGAGAAGTTGGATCTTCACTGGCAGGACAGACATGTAATAGGACTCATTCTGATTTGCTTGAATGTTCGTGGTTTGTTTTTCTTCTTCCTACCTGGTAGCCAGTTTCTTAGCCACAGAAGTATGTTGATGTGAAAGCTTAAAAGCCACTTATAATGAAGAATATAGCAACATTAAAAAGAACATATAGGTTCCCATTTCAATTTAAGTAAGAAAAAATATTTTTAAATAAAAACACCATATAAGAAATATACCCATCGAATTGGACATCTTGAAGAGGCAATAGCAGTAAGAAAGAAAGTCAATGATATTGAGCATATATATCTCTCATATATATGTATATGCTATATATATATATATATCATACTAGCCATTTAAAACAATGAAATTTGAATTTGCCTGTGATTCATTTAACTTTTGCTAGCACACATGGAAAGATTTCAAATTTCTTTTCAATGAAACATATAAAGAAAAACCTATTTTATATTGTATATTACTACCTATAGTAGTAGGGAGACTCAAAATTACAGAAAAACACTGAGTATCATCTAAAGCAATAAGATTTAACAGTGTTTACTGTCATTGCTTTTTTAAAATTTTTTATTTATTATTTTTATTTTATGCGTACGTGTATATTGCCTGCATGTAGGTAAGTACACCCGTGTCATACAATGTCCAAGGAGGTCAGAAGAGGCTGTCGGATCCCCTGGGACTGGAGTTATGGACAGTTGTTAGCTGCCATGTTGGTGCTGGGATTCCAGCCAGGGTCTTCTCCAAGAACAACCAGTGTTCTTAACCACTGAGCTGTCTCTCCAGACTGCTTTTTGTCATTGTTGAATCAGAAATGGTATAAGATAACACTGATAATATCCAATAATCCTTGTGAATTAATGGATTTCATGATTAATATTAATTGCATATTAAGCTATATTAAGCTATATTTTAATGCAAACACCCCAGCTCACCACTAATGCCCATTAGTGGAGTAAGTGCAGACCACAAATAATTTACAGTTGTTTCAATTAATTTATCTACCTGCCTATGCTTTAGAGGTATCAAAAGTCAAGAGAATTTTCATTCTACCCTCTCTGTGTATTGTTTAGAAAGAAGTTAAAAAGCACTATACAGACTACAACACAGGAAATCAAAGAACAGGGTAGCATAGGTTATGCTAAGTGAAAAACACAATTTCTGCACAAATATGACTCTCCCTTGAACACAAGGAAGAAAATAAGGTAAATGATCACATGATTATACAGGGTTACTTTCATGAAACTCAAAATATCTTCCTGTTTCTGTTATAATCCAAAAACTATTTGTTGGCTCTAATACTAGTAGGTAAAAGGGAAGAAGAGAGGTAAGAAAGTCAATTTCTATTGAGTTCCTAAAGTGTGCCAGTATTTGTGATGGGCATTGTACATATTTAATCTGAGGAAATTAGCTCATTGAAGAAACAGCTGTAAAGTTGACCTTCAAACCCATTTCTATGTTAGTTAAACTGATTCGCTACTCCAGACATGTAAATTCTCTGTCCTTTTTTCTAAAGCTTGACCCCACTTAATCTCTCATTGAATCCTGAGATTTACTCACATGCTTATTCGTTTATTAGGATTCTTCTTCCTTTGTTTGGCAAGTTTATAAGTTGAATTTTGGAAGGCCACAATAAGGTTGAAGGAAGGACATGGGTCTTGGTGTCAGAAAGTTTCAAGTTGTTGATGAATTAAATAATTACTCTGAGTCTCAACTTTTACATAGAGCTTCTTTGTAGGATTGTTAAAAGGAATAAGCAAGATAAAAAATGGGAATGATATACATGATGTTTGGCACACTGTAAGAGCACAATAGATTTTTAGCTATGGTTATTATTTTTAGAGAAAGATAAGCTGATATTCAGATAACATGCAATTTAAAGCCATAAGTAAATTTCAGAGCAAAAAACAGAACTAAGTTTCCCTAACCATCATTCTATGTAGTTTTTAAAATTGTAAAATATTCTTGTGATGCAAAGATGTTTACATATTCTCACAGCATTTAAATGTCACCAATCCATATAGATTTTATTAGTTCATTTGTAAACTTTTAGACTTTCATATTCATTTCATAAATGTCAGATCTGCTCCATAAAGAGTATGCTTTAAACAATTTCTTTTTCCCTAGAGACTAGCTTCTATCAGCTTAGAATTTGGTGGAAATGCTTGTAGAAACCATGCAACAGAAGTGCTACTTAAGGTCTCATTGGTGAAATGGAGGCTGCATGAGAGTAGGAAGAGGGACAGCTGCTGACCTACGAAAGCAGCTCCACCACCCCCTTGCCCAAATCCTCCCTCTGTCTGACAAGACATTTCCAAAAGGATAAGCACTTTTCAACAATGTTTACTAATGAGAAAAGAAAGCCAACAAACTGTCGTAGGGTAGAAAGTCTGTGCATGTTATCTGAAACTTACTCTTCAGTGTAAGCCACACACCAGTATATTTAATTTAAAAAATTCCTTTGGGGCTGGGGAGACGGCTCAGTGGTTAAGAACACTGGCTCTTCTTTTAGAGAATCCGGGTTCGGTTCCCAGCACCCACATGGCAGGTAAAAATTGTCTGTAACTCCAGTTCCAGGGAAATCCGACACCCTCTTCTGGCCTCTGCAGGCATTGCACGACAGGGATGCACTTACATAACATGCAGGCAATACACTCATACATATAAAATAAGATAAAAAATAATAACGTATAAAAAATTCCATCAACACATTTATATCATTTAAATAATGAGTTCTCACTGTGGAAAAATCACAACTTCATGATCATCATCATCATTTAAGAGCCTTTCCAAACTTCCCCCAGTCTTCCCAAATTTTCTTCTAGCATTGAGACATGCAAAAGCAAATTTCACAAAATGGTAAAATAGGAAATGATAACTCATCCTGGAGAGTTAGTAAACTTTATGTAGAACAATCATTTTTAAAACTCCCATACTTTTAAAGATGAATATTATTATGCTAATAATCTCAGATAATTTTAATTTTGTTTCTGGCAACATATTTTACTTTGCCAGAATGGGTGATATAAAGTGAACCAGTTCAGGAATATAATAATCAAAACTGAAAACCATATACTGTGCTTTTTCTACATCTTTGAAAATATATCATAGGCATAGACTTCCATGGCCATTCATAATTCTGTGAACAGATTTGTGCCCTTCATAGGCAAAGTCTGTCAACTTATTTAATGAAGCATAGTAATCTTAAAACTAAAACTGTAGATCCTTTTGAAAAACCAAGAGCCAAGTGAGCTATTGAAGATGAAAAATTTTACCAAAATATACTTCTAAATGCACAAAAATCTTCCATGCATTAGTGAAAGGTCACGTTTAAGTAGATAAATGAATGTATGCAGTTATGAAAACCTGTATAGTAGCTAATTCACTAATGCATAACAATAGAAAATTTTAATATTATACCTAAAATGAACAGAATTAACTTTTCTAATCTATTATTTTCAGTGCTTAGGACTGAAGCCAGGGTCTCACTCTTGTGAAGCAAGCGATCTACAACTGAGATATGCCTCCAGCTTGAAAGGGTAAGGTAGATAAATTGCCATTTTAACTTTTGTCCCCAAATTGTTATCCTGTTTCATGAATGGCATATTATTATATTGGACTAGTCCATGGAATAATGCATGTCTAACAACCACCATTTTTTTCTCATTTTCTTTTAAATCCATGTCTTACAGTCCATCAAATAATTAGGAAGAATAATCATTCCGTTATGTTTAAAAAGCTCTTCAATTATCTTATGTACAAAACTGGCATTTGATTGGTATTCTTGTTTCAGCAAATATTTAAATTACTTCTTCCCACTGACTCTTAAGGTAATTATACATACCACAGTCTGATGATTAACTTGAATCACTTCATCACCAGCATGGATTTTCTTGCACCGATCTGCAGGTGACTGAATTCAAAATAAAAGAAATGATAAACAACACATTTTAGTAAAATTTTCTTTCTCTAGAAACATTACAAAAAATCACCTCATTAATTAGATTTTTAAAATTAATTACAATCCTCAAGTAATAATTATAAAGTGGTTACTGATAGTTAAAACACTCCATAACTTCTATGTATAGCTAATAACAAGAAAAATAAATGCAAAGTGATACACAAGTATTTATGCTAGGAGACAATACTGTGTTTTCGAGAGCCTCAAAGGACAGTAATAATTTCTAAAAAATTTTGCAAAATTAATCCGCACAACCCTCCTAAAGCACTACTAGGCAATAGGTTTGAAAATATATTTCCAATGCTATGTTTTAATTTAGGCCCTTTCCATTTGATACAAACAATTCATATTAACTTAAGCAAATCCATATTTTGAAATACATGCATATTATTACCATCAAAGTTTGAAGCCCAATAATTAAATTGGTAATTTATTTCACTATTAAACTGACTCTGAATACTATAGAAAGGCAAATTAAAACACAGGCAGCAATTAGATCAAAATTGCATTATATAACATTCACTCTAAGTGGTTAATTATAAGAGCAGGCTATTGCCCATGTTTCATACATTGTAATACAACTGGTCAAGAAACCACAGTAAATGAGCTACAATGCCAACACATCTACAGCATATGACAATTCTATTATGTCATTAGTTTAATATGAGATTCAAACCAAAAATAAAACAAAGCCAAAAAACCCCAACTGAACTTAATATTGACAAATTATAAGAAGCAAAATGACATTTGTGATGAAATTTTATGATTTTCTTTGGTACTGTAATAAATTTTATACCTTTATTTTTCTAGTTACCAACCACTGATTATTAATTACATGTATTTTAGATATCCTGATACGGCAATATGCTCTTGTATTTTGAATATATAGACAGATGTTTATGATTTATGTGTATTAATCTATCAAAATGATTTGCCAATGCTGTGATATTACTCAATTGCATCTATTGAGAGAATCTGAAGAGTAAAATGCTACCTTTGAGACCTGGAAGTAGAATATACTTTAAAAGTGATTTATAGTCATTTTGTTTTGAATTTCAAATTTTTGTATATATGTATATATGTATGTGTTAATTGTGTATATGTGTGTTCGTGTGTGAAGTCAGTGTCTTCCTCAAATTGCTTCACCATCTTATTTTTACTTATTTATTTATATGTGAGGAGGTAAGAGGACAACTTTTAGGAGTCAGTTGTCTCCTTCCACTATGTGGGTTCCAAGGACGGAACTTAGGTCATCAGGCTTGGTGGCAATCACCTTTAACCACTGAGACATTTCATCAGCCTCATGCACATTTTTTTTTACATGTATTTAGTGCTGGGAGGATGAAGATAGCACGCACATGCCATGGCATACCAGTAGAGTTCACAGGACTTTTAGCTATTGTTTACCTCCTTCTTACTATATTTGTTCCAGGGATCAAACTCAGGTTGTCAGGCTTGGCAACAAGTGTCTTTACCTAGTGAGCCATCTTGGTTGCCCCACCACCTAAAGTTTTGAGACAGTGCCTTTCACTGAATCTGGGGCTCACTTCTTGGCTAGACTAGCTGGCCAGCAATCTCCAGGGATCCACCTTTCCTCTCCTCTCCCCCAGCACTGGGGTTACAGATGTACTCCATGGTGCCTAGATTTTATGTGGGTACAGGGGATCCAAACTCAGGTCCTCATGTTTGCACATCAAGCAGATTACCAATGGAACCATGGCCTCAGCACATTTACTTTAGTTTTTATTCATTTCCAGTTTTAAATTATTTTGAAAATATAATAGATATCTTGAAACAATATTAACCTCACTACAACACATTTGTAAATTCACAAAAAATATGTGTTATAGGCTCAAATTTGAAATAAGCTAATATTCCAAGGAGCTCATTATGGAATGATGTAAGAATACTATTAAGGAGTTATATTTATCTGAGATGTGAACTACACTCTAAGAAAAAAAAATGCATATTACAAAGTATCTTTAGAAGGTGGTAGTATTACCATATTAGGTTGGCACCACGTGACAATTTTGAAAAGATTATAACTCACTACTTTAATAGAGCTAAAACTATAGACAGTCACTGCGGCATTTGGCTCAAAACATTCTTTAAAAGAGGAAAAAGGGAAAATCAAGCAAATGCTTTTAGTCAGTATGTACAAAAGGATGGTTGGCATATAAAATTCAAAGGAAATGAAAACTTTTGCAAAGGAAAATAAAAACTTGGGTAAGTCATATAAATTATAGACTTTCAATGTTGAAAAGGATCTCAGAGAGCATTTCCCCCAAACTCCCCATTTGACATGTAAGAAAACAAAGAACCAGAGGATGACAAAGCAAAATATAAGTTACCTACCTTAGTGTACAGCTTTACTAAGACTCATCACAGAGTTTCTAATTATAAATTATAGAGGGTTCCAAAAATAGTGAAATATTTTTAAGGAAAAAAAGACCCACAGGGTGAACTATGAATATGTGATTCACTGTGAACTTTTCTGAGTCTAACGTTCCTTTGAACACTTATCCATTTATCCAGTTTTACTGAGTAAAGTACACAAAGCATAATACTCAATTCTTACTTTCATGGACATCATATAATATCTCAGAGACCCTTTCCTACCAATTCTTCATAATACAGCTCATGATCACCAGTTTTGTGATTTCTTCTCTGATTCACTTGGCAACACTTTCTAGTCCTTCATTTTTTTATCCAAGCAAATCATACCACTGTTTATATAGTTGAAGCCCTACACGCTTCCTACATCTAAAGCACAGAAGGCTACCTTATACATATTCTACTGCTTAGTACCATGCCAGGAAGACAGCAGACATGAAGCAAAGGTCTGTTACATGATGAAATAAATAGATGCATGATCAAATGAATGCAAAATTAAATGAGAGTGATTAGAGACAAAAGAATAGTGTTTAGGGTTTTATTGAATTTAAAATGATTAATTATCTCACAATATGCATTTAACTTATATTTTTATTTCCTATGATGATCACTTTTAATATCAAATAGTAGTGTGCTACAGCATTCAAATGCCAAGTATTTGCCTCACTTTCAAAAAGAAGGAAAATCAACAATTTATTAGAGTTAATAGATGTGTTAGATGAAGAAAATGTTGATTTCAAAGAAAAAAATATTGGGAAAATGTTGAGATCAAAGACAACTGAAATTAAAGTAATTCCACCATAGTTTTCCTTAAAGGAACACAGCATAAACAGGCAATTTGTCTGAATCTTTAGAAGTAACACAAATTTGAGATGATTAAATAACTAAATGCAGAGATAATGATTATTATTTAATTTCTATTATACCAATCATGATAATCCTTAAACTTGATCACTTTATATTTCTTTGTACAACATAACTGTATCTCTTAAAATATATACATATACAATATAAAAAACTTTAAATGTAGTTACCATATACTACGGGTTCAGTGCCCCAACAGATACCACAGGCTAGCTAAATAAAAAGCCCAATGCTGAGAATGGACTCCCTCTTATGGAGTTGTTGACCAAGGGTACCCACAGACCCTCAACCAATAAAGGTTACTGCCATTTCTCTTCATTACCCACCAGAACTTGAAGGTGAGACCCTGCTGAAGATACTACATATGTGAGTCACGGGACAAATAAGGAGAAATCAAGTTGGTATTGACCTCAAAGCTTTGCCTCTACTGGCTAGCTTTCATAGTGCTAGAAGGTGCTACGCATGCTATCAAAAGAGAAAGTAATAATCAGCCCTATCTAGCTGTGAATCCTGCAAGCTTTAATAACAAGTTCCCTAACAAGATATGCCCGGGAGTGCATTAGTGACATGGATGTTAAGGGAGTTAGCATCCACTTTCTGATCAGATATAAGGCCTGCTTCACTAGATGGAGCTCATACTTGGCACTGTTATCAGGGTCAGGAACCTGTGGTTAGACAGGTCACAGGCCATAGGGAACAACTTTACTATTGTTATTTTGCTAAATGGACATAGTGTTAAACAAACTCCTAATGACTTATTGTTATATCCATAGATTGATGCATCTCAACTGTCATGAGAGAAATTTCTTCTTTCAGTAGATAGTGATTAACACAGAGATCTACAACTATTCAGTGTGTAGAGAGTAAGAGAACATGGAGTGTTTGCCCCTAAATAGGATACCTACATCACACTATTTCCAAGGTTCAGGGCTCATTGTGGAATAAGGGACAGAAAGATTGTAAGAAACTGAGGTACTGGATGAATACAAGGAAGCCATGTTGTCTGGACACAAAAGGGCAGTTGTATATATGAACCCACAGCACTTATGACCATAAGCACAAGACAAGTAGATGCCCAAGTGAGGGAAAAAAAGAGCATGGAGGGGAGAGGTGGCCAAGAATGCCCAGCCCTAGCTTAGAAATTATTGGCAACTGATATATAATGGGAGAGGGAGAGTCAGTTTTCTTTAAGGGTGTGATACCTGGTAGGTTGACCAGGCTCCAAGGGATGGACCCACACCAAAGAGCATTTGGGAAACAGAAATTAGACTTGATAAGCATTTTAAAAAAGAAAAATAATAATCGACATGAAATTGGAGGGTAGGAAGGTGGTGGTAGAGATTGGGGAAGGGGTTTGAATATGATCAAAATACATTCTATGAAATCTTGAAAGAATAGAAAAGACTATTGTAATAGCACATCTGTTAAAGGGTTAGAACCAAGCAACAACAACAGCAACAATGACAACAACAATCAGTGCTCTCTAGGATTCCTCAGTGAGTTTGTGGTAGAGCCTGAGAATTTGAGTCTCTAGCAAGTTCTCAAAGAAGGCTGATCCTGCTGTCTAAAAATCTTCACTGAAAAACCCTCTGCCATGCCATGCTACACCTCTATTGAATCAAGCTGAATTATGCTGCGCTGCAAGTATTCAAAAAGTCTGACTTACTTAATGTTTCTCACATCAGCAAGGTTTCTTAAAATAACCAAACTATTTGACAAATGGAAGTGGATTCTTTTAGATGTCACAATAACTTGTCATGAACCAGAAAATACTCAACAAAGATAACTCTCTGGATACAAATACAAAACATCTGATTTCCTCTAAGTAACTGTTTTAAACTAAAAAAAAAAAGACTTAACATTCTAATACAACAAGAACCTACTAACTTAGCATGTATGCTTAGATAGAGCTCTCATCTATCTGTTCCTTTAGTCAGCAGTCAACCTTAATCATATGAAATATACACATACCCAAATTGAAAATGTTTTAATACTTACATTTTCTGTGGTTCCAGTAATTACATGGAGGCCATCGTAAGTGGATTTAATATACATACCCTATGAAAAAGACAGCATCAGAAAAAAGTGAAGCAACTGGCTTAATTTCAAATATAATTTCATTTACAATCTCAGAGTCAACAATGCTGTCTTAAAATTGTCGAGAAATTACTATGTGAAAGTCTGGTTTCTAAAGGTTGTCTAATGAAGCCTCCACTCAAATAACTACTTGATAAGTAAATTTCCTATAAGACCTAGAAAAATCACCATGATAATTCAATGTCTTGAACATACTTCATTCTTCTATAATCCACACTGTACATTCTGTGGTAAAATAGAAATTATAATGGGAAAATTCAAATACTGGCATATTAGTAATCTATTAGACTTGGTATAATTATACAATTAAAAATTAGGTTTCTTGCCAGACCTGGTGGTGTGTGCCTTTAATCCCAGCACTCAGGATGCAGAGGCAGGTGAATCTCTGTGAGTTTGAGGCCAGCCTGATCTATATAGCAAGTTACAGGCCAGCTAGGGCTACAAGGAGACCCTTTCTCAAGAATACCAAAAAGAGGTAAGTTCAACTATAAAACTTTCCATAATGAAGAGCAACAGGATAGAATGCATGATTTAAAAATGGCATTCAAATGAAGATATATAATATTTAATTTTCTAATTTCAACATACCATTTGTTGTAATTGCTTTTAATAATAAAATCTAATTTCTTTATTCTTTTAATATCACCTTAGCACTACTAAATAGAATATTAACCAGAAGTCAGGCAATAAGAGAAAGAGAAGAAACAAGTTGTTCAGAAGAGTTTCAAACTAATTATTTTTTAAATAGTTAAGAAGTCAAAGAAAATACAACTGATTATTTGCTCTTCTCTGAAAGTGGCAAACAGTAGGAAGGCCTGTATTTCAAGTATTATTTTTTTTCTGGAAATGAGACCAAATACTGGTCTCATATTTAATCAAGGACTCTCTTTTTTCTTTTGAAAAACAATAACAATCAATCAATCAATCAATCAGCCAACTAGCCAACCAACCAACTCTGAAGTTAAACAGCTAGATCATTTTTTCTTGCTCACTTTGCTAAAACCACATTTGCTTCACTTCATCTCCAAATATCAGTTAACCAATCACAGTCGAGTTGGTAGAATCAGGCATATTTGGAGACAGTTCAAGTACATCACAAGAAAAAGAATGCTGAAGCCAAGAGGCTTCTCAAAGAGCCCCTTCCTCTCTAGTCATCTCTTGTCTGGCATTCAGTTTTGAAACATTCTAATCTCATTTTCCTAACTTTTAATTTTATGCTAATTATTGTTTTTTAAAAGCAATTTGTCTTAATCACAACTAAGTGCACTCTCTCAGATTTTTTTCTTCATTTGTCTTTTAGATATTTTGTTGTTGTTGTTGTTTTGGGAAAGGGTTTCTTTGTAGCCTCAGCTGGCCTGAAACTCGTGATGAGACCAGGCTGGCCTTGACTGTACAGAGATCTGCCTACCTCTGCCTCCTAAGTGCTGGGATCTAATGCAAGTGCCCTCACCCTTGGCCTTTTAGATATTTCTTATGGCTAATTACTATCTAAATGCTACCAAAACCAAAAAAAATCAAGTGTTCTTAAAGTCCATTATTTAGTGTTGATTCACTTCTCATGATGATTTTCTCCCAGTAAGAGAGAAAGTGAGGTCCTTTTCTTCAAATAATACTATCTTTAGAATCACAGTCATAGAGCTTACAGAAGCTCTTAATATGATCTATTCCTGTCCCTCCTATTTCATCTATGACAGGTTAAAATCCACAGATGAGTCAATATGTCAAATATTAGAAGAAACTGCATTGTATGGACTCAAACCAAATATCATTGGTGGCCAATGAAAGCTTTGCTCTCTCTGAAATAGCTATATACAAATTTTATATACATACAAACATAACTGTGTGAAAAAGCCATGTAAAAAGGTAATCTACTTAGAGATCTCTAATAATATGCTAATTTCCAATATTTCTATTTTCCAGACTCTCGTTAATTTGTAAATTTAACTATGAGAAGAAATAAGAAACATGATAGGATCAAACTTATGTTTAATAGGTGTACAGAATGTAAACGTTCTCTAGTCAGTTTTTATTTGTGTGTGTGTGTGCATGTGTGTGTGTTCCTTATCAATATAAATTTTATCTGCTTACTTTCTATGGAGTATTAAAAAAGCTCTCCCTTGGGTCAAACTTTAAATTAATACATTTTGACCATCTAATTAATATAACAAAAAAGCATTGATGTATTTCATGGATGTTAGCCTAGTGGTAGCAATTTTTATATGATTATTCATTCTTATAATAATGGATATGGAAAAGTGGATGTAATTTATAATGATTATAGGGGATCAGGATATAGTACAGTGGGTAAATTGCTTGTTGCAAAATCATAAGGATTTCAGTTTGGATCCATAGCGTGCGCACACACACACACACACACACACACACATACAAAACCACACATGGTGGTACATGCCTGCGATCTCAGTGCTGGGAAGGAGAGGCAGAAGGATCCTGGAGGGTTCACTGGCAGCTATTCTAACCATTTGGTGAACTCCAAGTTCAGTGAGATACTCTGTCTCAAAAAATAAAGTAGAGAACAATAGAGGAGGAAGACACTCAGTGCTAAATCCTGGCCCCTACACATGCATGCACACTTGCACACATGTACCACACATTCATCCACACAGAAAAATGTCACTTGTCTTTAGCTACATATTCTAGAGGAAGGAAGATCTATTAAAACCAGAAAAAAAACAAAGTAAAACAAACAAAATACTTCCAAGGAGAGTAACGTTGTGCTTATTACAAAACTCTAAATGTTCTTAAGCTAAGGAATTTTAATCAGTGAATGGATGTGAAAGGATGTCATCAATGATTCATTTATTAAATGAGATAATTCAGAAATCACCATTTTCAATTCTCTTTTATTTTCATTTGTTTTTAAAAACGTTCTTTGTATGACAAACTTCTCCTACCTTAACTTCTCTAGGAAAAAAAGAACCAAAATGTTCAATGTCTGTGGAAATTCATAGACTTCCACATGTGGAGGCTGTCTTGCCCCCATCATTTGCTGTGCACTGATGGATGATGGCTTTGATAAACATGGTATCTCTTACCAGCCCTTCACTTGGTTTGATATTTGCCAGCTGAATCACTTCGAGGTGAGCAGACTGTGAAACCAAAGGATCTGATGACAGGGATATAATGTGGTCACAGACTCCAGAAAGAGTTTTACACTGGAAGTGAAAAAGAAAACAGTTATAGTAAACACATGTAACATATAAATCATCATTTATTATAAGTTTCATGATTTATTTTCAATTATATGTACATATGTGCGTCTTTGCACATGAGTTCAGAAGAGGATATCAGATCCCCTGGGGATAAAGTTATAGGTGGTTGCAACCTGCCCAACTTGAGTGTTGGGAACTGAACTCTGGTCTTCTGCAAGAGCTCTTAACCACTAAGCAATCTCTCCAGTCCCTATCATAGCTTTTCAAGGAGAAAAAAACATACAGTAGAAGAATGTTAACTGGCATTTAATCTTTAAAATATTTTAAAAGAGTTATTTAGGTGCACATAATGTACACAACACATATTTTAAATTAATAATTACTAATATATGAACTATATGTCAGGATGTTAATGAAAGTTATATGTATGTATTATTTATAATATTTGATGCACCACTCCTAAATATACAACAAGCTCATAGACAGCATTAACCAAAATGGGTAAAAAAATTAAAGCACTTCAGCCAAATTTACAGCCAATTTTGAAAGAGAAGCATCTTAGCTCTGGAAATTGTTACTGAATATGTCAATGCTGTTGTAATGCCTCTTCTAATTATATGGTTATTAAATAAATAATTTAAAAAATTAAAGCATTTCCACTAAAATCAGGAATGAGATAAGGATATCTAATCTTTCCATTCCTGTTCAATATAGTGTTTGAAGTCTTAGCTAGAGCAATAAGACAAGTGAAAGATATAAATGTGATACAAATAGGAAGGAAAGAACTTAAAATATCTTTATTTGATGATGATATGAATCGATACATAAAAAGACCCTGGGGACTCCTCCAGAAAACTACAACTGATAAACATATTTCTAAACAATCTTCATCATCTGAGATCCATTTGATATTGAGGCTTAATTTAATTCAAATTATGTTAAGCTAATAATTTCAATATAATATTAAAATTCTTGATGGCTAGCCAGGCATGGAGGCACATACCATTTATCTCAGCACTTGGGGGGGGCAGAGGTAGGCAGATATCTGTGAGATTGAGGCCACCATGGTCAACATAAGGGAATTCACGGCCAGCTGGGGCTACAGGGAGACCCTGTCTCAAAAGAACCCACATCCTCCAAAAATCTTGATGTCTTTTATTTCATGATCAGAAAGTTTTTTTTTTTTTTTAAGACAAATGACCAAGATCTTAGAATGACGACTCTTTCAAGTTTGATTGGTTAATTCTTTTTAAATTTGTCTGGACTTTCAGGATCAAGTTTATCTTTATATAAAATTCCACACTGCTAACAGGGAAAGTCTGGAACAAACTCACTCTGTTCCTTCAGGCTTTTAGGGATAGTCAGAAATGTACAACTATCTTATTTTGTTTCCTTCTGACATTATTCCATCTTCCACTTACCACTCCCACTATGTAGGTAGATCCTAGAACATATAAGGCACTCAATAAATATTATTTGTTTGGTCCCCAACCCTGTAAACATACCTATATGTGAGTTGACTGAGCTGAAGGTCAAATAAACACTTTTTTCTTTACTGAAGGATTTGCTATTTTGTGGGAATCAAGATAATAATCTTCTAACTAAGATATAATCATCCAACTAATTTTTCTGTGTTCTGTGGCTATTGCCACAGCCTACTGTGAAGATGATAGTTACCTCTGTCTCCTTGGTCAAAACAATAAAGACTGTGTTTTTATTTGTTATATTCTAGTCTTGGTCTATAGCCTCAGTCTGTGCTGGGCCCAGTTTCCTCACACTACAGAAACTGTCAGGATGAACTAGCCTCTGTAATGGGACTCATGATTTTTGCATTTGCTTCCCAAGACTGCACATTAATTGTGGTTATCAGATAAAAAAGATGTGGATTAGCCACAAAATACCAATACTCAGGGGAAGAACATGGGCCTGATATGAGGACAGATGTGGGTAATGACCACACTGACAATGCTTTACTCTTCACGTATAAGTAAGTTATATCCTTGAGGCTGTTTTCTTCAGACAAAAAAAAAATGAGGCAATAGAGATTATTTTATATGCCTTATAATCTAAATACGATAATTTATTTTTGAAACAGCCCAATACAGCTCCTATCCAAAGATACCAAATTACTTATTTGTTCCCAGTTGCTTTTTGTAACCTATAAAGGCCTCAATTCCAAAGGAGATTAATTAGTTCATTACTCTTAATTCTATGGCCATCTTACAATGACTAGAATTCACAATGGCCAGTCTAGTTGCATGACAACTGTAATTTTGGCCACAAAAGGACAACTGTGTTATATCTAGAAGATGACTGGGAACCACTTTATAAAGGATATTTTAAAGTATTATTTTACTTTTATAATTTAATTTTTGAGACTGACATACACTATATTTTGATCATACTTAGATTTCCCTTCCCCATATGCACCTCCCCTATTACACACACAGACACAGACACACACACACACACACACACACACACACACACACACAAATTACAGCCTGTAGAGGCTAATTTGTGTCCCCAAATCTTCAGTGTGGGTCCATCCACAGGAGCCTGGTTAGCCTTTCAAGTGTTAAGTCCTTGATAGAGACTGACTTTCATACTCCCAGCAGTCATTGGTTGTCAACAGTTCCTCAGGTAGTGTTGGGGTTTCTTAACCACTTCCCCATGTCTATGCTGGGATGTTTTCCTGGCTTGAGCTTATGTGATACTTCTGCATGTCGTCACCATTGCTGTAAGCTCAGATAAGTACCTGACCAGGTGTCTAGAAAACCATTTCCTTGTGGTTATTCATCATCTCTGGCTCTTACAATGTTTCTACAATGATTCCCCAGGTCAAAGTGTGCTATTCAGGGATAAACACTCTGCAGCATCTTCATCTTAATATCTGCACACTGGCCAGCAGTGGTTCTCCGTATTAATCACCATCTACTGCATTAGGAAGTGTCTCTGCTGAGACCTGAGAGAGTTCATTGCTGCCCTTTTCACAGGAGCCAGGAATTGGAAACAACTTATCAGTCCAACAACTGATGAATGGATAATGAAGGTGTGGTACATATACATATGCATATACATATACATATACACAATGGAATATTATTCACCTCCTAAAAGAAACAAAATTGAGAAATTCGCAGGTAATTGGATGGAACTGGAAACAATCATCCTGAGTGAGGTAACCCAGAGCCAGAAAGACAAATGTCGCATGTTTTCTCTCATAGCTGAATAATAGCTTTGAAATCCTAGATATGCATATTTCAATTTGAAAATCAAGAGAGGTCAGGAAAGAAACTGTCATGGGGGGGTGGGGGAGGTTTCCTGGGAGGGAAGGTAAAATGCAGTTATATAAAGGAGGAAAGTGGTCAGCCTTAAACACATTCAGGCACAAGGATCACTAAATAGACTTGGTACATTTTATGTGTGTGTGTGTGTGTGTGTGTGTGTGTGTGTGTGTGTAAATGTATGAATGTATATGTACCAATAATAATCAAAGAAGAAGCGGTCACAAAACTGAGAAGGATTGGGGGTATTGGAAGAACTGAAGGGAGGAGGAGGCGTGGTGGAAATGATGTAAATATACTTATGTATGAAATACTCAAAACAAAAGCTTAAAGAAGCCATTCACATAGTCAACAATCACTAATTATGTGCTACATAAATCAATTGCCAAATACTATGCTTAAGGATGCCATAGCCTGGAAATGTGTTTCTGGTAATTTATTTTGATTTTTGCCATTAGCACCAGAAGCATTAAGTATGCTGCAATGTGGTTCCTGAAAACAGAACAGAAGCACTAACTCCTAAGACACTTATGAGATAAAATTATTAATTCAGGGGCTGGAAAGACAGCTCAGTGCATAAGAGCACTGGTTGCTCTTGAATAGGCCCTGAGTTTGATTCCCAGCACCCACATGGTGGCTAACCGTCCATAACTCCAGTTCCAGGGGATTTGACGCCCTCTTCTGACCTCCACAGGCACTGAATGACAAGGGTGCCCCTAACTACATGCAGGCAATACACTCATACACATAAAATTAAAATAATAAATAAAACACTTAAAAATTTTAATTCAAAGCTTATAGTGCTCAAATCTTTTAAATTCTTAGATTGATTCACTTTAAAATATATAGTCCTAAAGCTTATTTGATAGTAGATAGAAATGATAGAAATTTATCACTAAAGTTTGTAATTCCATAAATTCCAAAAGTCTTTGAATTTCAGTGTATATAAGTGAGATTCTCTTGCTAATCTTCCTGAATGATACTTTGGGATCTTAAGAGGTCAATCAACCTGCACAAGTTAACAAAGTTAAAGGCAAAGTTAAAGCAAAAACCCCAAGCTCTGAGGCTCAATGAAGTGCTCTTTCTCCAATGACACGCCAACTCTAACCAAAGAACCAAACAAATTAGAGGTGGCAATACAGTATCTCATATTTAAATTCTTAAGATAACTATTTCCATAATTATTGCTTCTTGGCTACTAGTCTCTTTTTAGCTTTATTTAAAAAAATTTTTGCTTTTGGTTTAGTCTCAGTGGAAATTTGAATTGATGGTGTACTAGGGATTTACAGTGGTGCTACAAATTATCACAAGCTCAGAGGCTTAACATAACATTAATTTTTCCAATGTATATTTTAATTGAATTTTTGTGCATTTCATACAAAACACTTCAATCATTTTATACCTCCATCCCGACTCTGCCATAGCACCCCACCGGATTACACGCATGTTATCATATATGTTAAGGTCTATTGAGTCAAGTTTGTGCATCTGAATGTCCCTCAGTGAAGATTGATCCACTGGGCTCTAGGCAGCCTATCTCGTTTCTCCCTTAAAGAAGATCAGCTCTTCTTCACCCAGCAGTAATTAGCAGCCAATAGCTCTACAGCTAAGTTTGAGGCCTGCTGCCCATTTCCCAAGTTCTATGGTGGGATTTTGTCTGAGTTTGCATGGGTTTTGTGCATGCTGACACACTTATTATCTCTCAGTTTTGATGGC